TACAAACAATTTAATCGTATATACACGTAATATTTATAATATTAATAACATTAAAAGACAATGTGGCAAACATCTTCGGAAAAGAATGTTTCGATAATATTCCAATTTGTTTAAATTTTTCTTAACAATATTTCACATTTATAAAATTAATATGATAATTAGTATTTTCCAAGGCTTTATTATTTTTTACATTTAGTCATTATAAACTAAATATAAATCAAGACAATTTTTTTTGTACTCACTGTATTATCTTGTCGAATTTTTGTCGAATATCAATTTCGACAAATAGTAATGGTTTGAACGTTCCTTCCGTAAGATTCTGAATTAACTCCGCGAAACTCTCATGATTCACAAACAGATTGAGTATTTTATAGTCTGCAGCGAACATGGTCACCATCGTGTATAAAGTATTAGTAAAATCGTTTGGATTATCGACGTTCAGAACAACGTCCATAAATTGCGAGAATGTAAAACTGTACATGATACTAATTACTAATAATGTATAGGCGTCATATAACGTATGTTTGATCAGCGAAGTCCACGAGAAAGGTCGCCAGCATCCAGCGATTGTGAGAATCGCGAATATGAATTTTAGCGAGTTCATACCCTCTAAATAAAATATTCTTTAAATTTCTGAACGTAGAAAATGCCTTTTTTTAAAGAAATTTCCACAATTGCATTAATCTGATATGTACAACAACATGATCAACTATGTAATTTGTGTTGTAACGTTTTGAGAAGCTCTTCGTGTGCTCCTTTGGTATTTGTTTTGCGTGATATTGTCGTCAGTCACGGGATTAGCTATGGAGATATAGATTTTACAGCGTCTATAGCTCGCGATATTTTTATTGAATTTTCCTCTGGAATATATAACGTCGTAATAACAAATCTAGACTAATGTTTCCCGTGAATTGACGTTTTCGTGAGAATTCCATTCTTATACCTATATATAGTAACATAAGTTGTTGACATGAGGAGTTCAGATGTATGAAATTTTGATACATTGTTGTACTCGTCCATTATAAAATATTTTATTCATAGTCGCTGTCTGCGACAACTTCAGTTTTCCTCCGTCTGGCGTTCCCTGTCTTTTCCTCGGTAACTGTATGCATTTTTTATTAAGTATAAACACGGAAAGCAAGATAACCTCAATTTCATTTTTGCAACGTAAACACTTGATACATTGAATGATATTTGGATTAGATAGAGATAATAATCGAAGTAATTTATTCCTTATAATCATTTCCATAGGATTTCTTAACTTTACATCTTTTTAAATAAGTTTACAAGAATTCTGTAGAAAAAAAATACAATCAAATTCCAATCGGATGATGTCGGTATTTACGATATTGGTAATTTTAAAATTTTCATAGATATCGTCTATAGACGATGTTTTTTTCCGCTTACCGACTCCTATTCAATATTCATTATTATCATGCAGAAACATCGCATTTACTAACAGGATATTTTTTTTTAATTTCAGGTTTTAGCGGGAATCTTTTGACTGTAGTGTCTTATGCGCTATAATGAGCCAACATAATAAACTACTATTCTCATATGAAAAACGAGATATTGAGATAAATGATGGTTTCTTGCTGTCCGTTTATAGATTGCCATTAATAATATCTGTCTCTATTTATCTCCAATTTTAATGAAGGTACAAGTTATTTGTCTAAATGTTCTGTTAGTTTTTGTATTGTTATTTTAAAATTCTGATCAGACGTCATGAATATATTAAATCTATTTTAGAAATTTTGTTTATTTTAATATTTTACTTTTTAATCACAGTATAAAGAATTAAATGCAGGGTTCTTCTAGTAAGATAAAAATTTCCGTCTATAACAATGAAGTCGTTTGTATATAATTAATATGACAATAAAGTCATATACATATGTATTCTTATAAATATATGACTTCACGGTCATAAGTTTTGTTAGCTTAAAAAAACTCTGTACTTAAATCTTACATAAGTTACATTATATATATATATATATACAGGGTGTTTCCAAATTAAATGGCAAAACTTCGGGAGCGTGTAGAGGAGTAAAAAACTAAGAAAAAAAGTCCTATAGACATATGCTCGTTTTTGCTCCGTTTCAGAGAAATCGAAAAAAAATGTTTACATTTCTTGCCATATCTAGCACCGACATATTTGATTACATTTTCCACTTTCTGTTATGAATTTGTCAGTCGCTCTTTGAAAGCCTTTAACAGTAGATGAATTTTGTCTTTTGCAATATGCCGCGTACGTATTCTAATAGTGAATATGCTGATATGGTTTTTGTATACGGTTTCTGCAACGGTAATGCTTTAAAGGCGGTGCGAGAATATGCACGACGATTTCCAAACAGAAGAGTGCCAAACCGAAGAGTGTTTATGTTGACATTTAATAGATTGCGAGAGACTGGATCATTTTCAATTCGACAAGAAAACAACCGATTTCAAGCAGCGTTACGAAGAGATTTGCAGGCAGGGAATCGTATTTTACAACATTTTGACAATCATCCTGAGACCAGCGTTCGGAATGCGTCGGCTGTATTGGGAGTGTCACCACAAACAATTTGGCGAACTGTAAAAGGAGATAATCGCTATCCCTACCACATTCAAAAAGTGCAAAATTTATTACCTCAAGATCATTGGAACAGATTGAACTTTTGTAACTGGTACCTTCAGACATGCCACAATGATATTTTATTTCCATCTAAAATAATGTGGTCAGATGAGGCAACATTTACCAGAGGTGGAATAATTAATCAAAGGAATTATGATATATGGGCTCATCAAAATCCCAGGTCTGTTAGAGAATACAAATTTCAGCAAGAGTTTTCTGTTAATGTCTGGCTTGGAATTTGGAACGACGTTTTAGTGGGACCGTTTTTTTTACCTGCAAGATTAAATGGGGACCGTTTTCTAAATTTCTTGGAGAATGAATTTTCTGACTATTTAGAAAACATCCCATTACAACAACGTACTGAAATGTGGTTTCAATTAGATGGATGCCCTGCTCATTACAGCAGAGTCGCTAGAACCTGGTTAGATAGAAAATTCCCACAACGATGGATTGGACGTGGAGGAGCAGTACATTGGGCAACTCGTTCGCCCGACTTAACGCCATTAGATTTCTATGCATGGGGTACTCTGAAGCAAGAAGTTTATTCTTCGCCTATTCAATCAGAGCAACATTTGAGAAATCGTATCGTAGCTGCAGCGAACAGAATATCGCAAGAACAGTGCCTGGCTGCTACAAGAGCCGTGTTTGACAGATGCAATGCTTGTATTGCTGCAAGAGGTGCACATTTCGAACAAAATCTTCATTAAAAAGTTTATAAATAAAATAATTAAAATAATAAATTAAATATATTTTTTTCTTTTTTCGTGATTTCCTGCGAAACAAAGCAAAAAGGAGCATATGTCTATAGGACTTTTTTTCTTAGTTTTTTACTCCTCTACACGCTCCCGAAGTTTTGCCATTTAATTTGGAAACACCCTGTATATATATACATGATTAAAAAATAAGATTATCTCAAAACAAAAGTTGCACTCGAATTTAATGATTTACGTAAGTGGTTTTTTAGTAAGATAATTAACTAATGTAGCGACACTTTTGAAACTTAACGAGGTGATAAAAATTTTATAACACAAAGTCGAAATATTTAACATCATACAATTCAAATAATTAGTGAAGCCGTTAGGATCATTAACGTTCATCACAAAGTCCATTATTTGCGTGAAAGCATATAACATCGTGCTAATTACGTATAATCTGTAAATATTGTAAATTATCTATTTAAACAAAGATGTCTCCATGATTGCGGTTGGAAACAACCAGCAATCATAAAAATTGTACACGTCAATTTCATAATGTGCATAATAAAGTGTTTGATTAGAAAAAAAAGATATATATATACTTATACAATGTATCTTAATGACTATGATACTGATAAATAAGTATAGAACTTTTTAGCGATTATAAAACTGCCCTCAAAATGATTTTATTCTAAAAAAAAATCATTATCACGTAAAAAAAATAAAATATAATTTCAAGAATATGTATTAAGATATTTATAGATATCATATAACACAATTCTTTGATGCGATACTTTCGCTAACGATATTTTCTCTTATCTTTTACACATTTAATATCTGTATTCGTAATAAAGTTTTAACGGAATCTATCAAGAATAATATTAAACTTGCAATGATTGTCCATAATATAATATATTTACGCAAGGTAGTTGATAAGATTACGTCTGTGATCAATTTTTATTACAAAAAATGTACTTCTTTCATTTCTACATCTAGAGAGTGAGTAAATTTGTAATACAGTAGGAAAGAGAAAATGCTTAAAACATTCATCAATATGATATGAGATATAAATAATTTTCATAATGTCTTGATGTACGCTATTTATCAATACACAAAACATTTTCTTTATTATCTTTCACGTTTATAATTTGATTGTATCATCTATAGTATTGATTTATACTCACGCAACGTAATCAACCGAAGGAGCTGTAATATTCACAGAATTCATTTATAAGACTACATATTGTCAAACAGAAAATTAATGTTCATAATAATATCTAAATTTCTATGATGTCACATTTTTGGTATTTGCAATGATGTAATTAAATAATAATATAATGTGTAAATTTTTTCTATTTAAAATAGAAATATATATGTATATTTTATATTCTCCAGTATTATCCTGTATATAAAAATGTTAAGACAATGTTATTCAGAAATAAATGTTTCATATTTTATTACATATTTTAAATATATTCTGATATAAAATACAAAATGTTTAAAAGGAGACAGTCGTTATCAATTGCTACAATATTATTTTTCAGTCTTATCTTAATTAGAGCAACAAATATTTACATCTTTTTACGGATAAAAATATTTAATTTTTATTATTGATCAGCATTTTACTATAACCTATTTGTGTATTATCATTTTATAATTAAATTAAGCATTAATAATAAATATTCGCAATTTTTTTACTTGCCTTTATACTGTTGTTCCTGTATTTGGATTAGCAAATTGTAAGCAGAATATGATGTTTTAAGCAACTGTAATAATTACAAATATATTCAAACTGTTTCAAAATCTTTGAGGGAGATAATTATTCATATAATTAAAATTTATATTACAAATTGTTATATTATATTTTGTAATTATTAATCATGGCGTTACTTGTAACATGTATGTACATTATAGAGAAAAATATCTTTATTAAAGTATTATTTCGAAAATTAAAAGGATTATTTTGAAAGTCTTAATCAAAAAGTTAAAAAAATAGAAATTGTTTTTAGCTAACGTTCTCCACTTTCGGATAAAGTATGTGGTCGATAATTTATCTAATAAATAAAAAAAGAGCGAGAAATAGAAATCGCACGAAAACGTGAACGAGAGAGAGAATTAGCTGACGATGAGATTTATCGAAAGGTGGAACAAGTCTTCAAAAATTATATTTCGTAGCACTCTACAAAAAAAATTTAATTTTTTTACTATATTTTTTATACTCACCGCTGCAAAAGAATCTAAATTCATGTTAAAAATGTGTGCGCTGTGAAATTCAATAGGTTTCATTGCGCGAATCATAATTATCAAAAGGCTCTTTTTAGTTTTATGGTCCAATGCTATCCACTCTATTTCGAAAATACTATCGACCAGTTGAAGGCTCTATAAATTTATAATATATATTTCTATGTATTAAGTGTTTTACTTCTAAGCTCTTTATAAAAAGAACATAATAATTATATATATATATATATATATATTGTATGTACAGGATAGGGAAAAAACCCCTGAATAACTCAAAAAATATAAGTTTTATAGAAAAATGTTTCAGACAAAAGTTATAGGGATTAAAAAGATCTATTTATTGATCTTATCAGTGTGGCCTTGACCTGACCTTGGCGACACCACTTATTGTCAAACTGATAAGATCAGTAAATAGACTTTTTTGAACCTTACAACTTTTGTTTGCAACACTTTTCTGTAAAACTTATATTTTCGAAGTTATTTAGGGGTACCTTTTTCGGTCACCCTGTATAAATATGCACAATATAATTTTATAACGTAAATATGCATACCATCAGTTTGAGTTTATTTCCAAACCAGCAATAAATAAAAATTTGTACAAGTACACAAATTGTGTATGCAAAAAGAATAATGAAATCTACTATTAATTTTGTTCTACTTAATTGATACAAGTTCGAGCAGACAACGAATGTACTTGCTACAAATTGAAACGCGATGATTCTCGTGAATCTCTCATTAGTTGCGTATGCGAAACTGCAAAGAAAATATTTTTATCCCAAGCATTAAAATTAATTGCCTTAAAAAATTGAAAGATGAAAAGTCATTATGTGTTACTTAATACACAGGATGTTCCACGAAGAAAAGTTAATACATTTTGAGGTAATGGTATTAGTCATTTCAAGTAAAATATTCATACTGATACAAACGTGACATGTGCGGTTTTCGAAATAATTTGTACGATGGAGTTTTTGAAAATTTTTTTAAAAATGATTCAAACAATGAATTATTAGAAAATATAATATCTCTTTCTTAACGGTAATTTTGCAACAGTCAATTTTGGAAATTTTTCGAAATGGTACACACGTTCATATGAACATTTTGTTCAGAAGTTTTGAAAACACCGTTCAAAATAAGACATATATCCGTATGAACATTTTTGCTTAAAATGATTGATAATCGATACCATCATCTCCTAGAATAATGACCTTTCCTTCTGGAACACTATATGTTAATAGTAAAAAAAAGACATAAAGTATTAAGATAATAAATTTAATATTGTAATTCAAGAACAAATAAGAATGTAACTAACCATATAAATACATATAAGAATAAGTAAATTAAAATAGAAATAATATTATAGTAGAAAAAAGATCCAACTTTTAAGATTTTGAAACATGTCTCGTGTAAATAAGAAAAATTTTAGGATTATATTACCAAATTTAGAATTAATTAATATTCTAAAATTAAATTTAACAAAATTTTCACAAAACTAACTTGATTATGTGACGATGTTGGCGTATACAATGATCCAGAGTATTCTGGCCAGTTATAAAACCTTTAAAACGATATTGTAAGATCGTAATTTGACAGCACAGATGCAATAACAGACCAACAATGAGACTGTCACAAGCAACATTAACAAGAGATGCGGATATCACGCCTACGTATTGATGAGTATATGTGAGACAAAATAGCATGAACGACGAGTAATTATATGGTATCCATCCTCTAAGTATTAATTGCCTTTTTTTGAAACTCGTTAGTAATGATACCACGAAGTGGCTTGCGCAAGTGAGCATAATCAAAATAACATAACACATTGCGATATTCCTATAAAACAGAAAAAGTAATTTTCTCTTTATCTCGCAAAATGAAATTTATTTTTATTTTAATAAAAAGATATTTTCTTATCTCTACACATAAAATTTATTAAAAGTATATAAATAATACAAAAATTTAAATATACAAATAATATAAAGAATTTAAAGTATTATTTATAACGTTAGTAGTATTAACAGATATTCTATGGAAAAAGTTTTTGAGAAAAAATGCTTAACGATTTTCTAACTTTTCTTTATTTTCTTTAATGATTTATATTTATAAATTTAATTTTAATTATTTACATCTGCACTTTATTATTACTTCACATAATTCTTACAAATTAAGCATAAGTCAAGATATAATTTTGTACTTACTGTATCATTTTGTCGAATTTTCGTCGAATTTCGACTTCAACAGGTACTAATGGTTTAAACGTTCCTTCCGTAAGATTTTGAATTAACTCCGCGAAACTCTCGTGATTTACCCACAGATTGAGTATTTTGTAACACGCAGCGAATATAGCCAACATCGTGTATAAAGTATTAGTAAAATCGTCTGGATTATCGACGTTCAGGACAACATCCATAAATTGCGTGAATGTGAAACTGTACATGAGACTAATTACTAATAATGTATATGCGTTATATAATGTATGTTTTTTTAGTGATGTCCACGAAAACGGTCTCCAGCATCCAGCAATTGTGAGAATTGTGAGTGTAAATTTCAGCGCGTCCATACCCTCTATACAAAATGTTCTTTAAATTTCTCAACGTAAAACAAACGCCTCTTTTCTTTTTTAAAATAATTTTCACAATTGCTTTAATCTAATATGAACAACAACATGATCAACTATGTAATTTGTGTGTAACGTTTTGAAATGCTCTTTGTGTGCTCGTTTGGTATACGTGTTGCCTTATATTGTCGTCAGGCAAGGGTTAGCTGAAGAGATATGGATTTTATAGCGTCTATAGCTTACGGTATTTTCACTGAATTTTCCCCTCGAATATGTAACATCATTGTTGTAATAGTAAACCCGGAATGATGTATTCCGTGAATTGACATTTTCGTGAGAATTTCAATCTTATACCTATATATAGTAATATAAGTTATTTATAAGAGTTCAGATGTATGGAACCTTGATACATTGTTGTACCCATCCATTATAAAATATTTTATTCATTGTTGTCGTTATATCCGAGAATCTTATTTTTCCTCAGTCTGGTATCTCAATCTTTTTCTCGGTATGTGCATGCATTTTTTAATAAGTATAAACGGGAAAGCAAGATCTTTAATTTATTCATTTTCGCAACCGTTTTCTTTATTTTTTCTGATATATCTTTTGAATTACTTTTTGTACATAAATGTTATTCCAATTTGTTTGATGATCTTTCTTTGAAGATCTTGTAATTGTCTGATTGTATAATATATTCTTTGTAATTTTTTAAATACTTATGAAATCTGATTCTATATATATTTGAGTACTTTATGTATATATATGTATATATATGTTTGAGTTAATAATAGTCTTCGGAATTTTTTATGATAAAAAACAGGTGAAAGGCGTAATATCAAAAAAATACAGATAAGTAAAACTTCTTTATTTATTTATGTAATATTTGCGACTTGAAATTGCGCAAGAAACTACGATTACTATCGCAGACATTTTTACACTTAATGTTCAAAGTTCCTTGACACTGCTTATATTTTAAATACTTTTTATCCTTCCTTAGCATTAGCACTATTCTTCTTTTGTTTGTTTAAGTATATTAAATACTGAATACGACATCTTAAGCAGCTAAAGAATATATCAATATTTACGTAACATTTTTTAATTCAATAGTTTCTTAATAAATCGGCGGCAAACGATGTTTGTTTTCCCGCTGAATTCCCAGTTGGATTAGATTCTTGCTATCGTATAATGCCTGCTGATAGTGCCTATCCTGCTGATAGTGCCAGCATCGCAGCCAATAATACGGTGGCAAGAATTTAATCCAGCTAGCAATCCAGCAAAAAACAAGCATCATGTGCCGCCAACTTTGCAGTTATAAAAAATTTATCTCTAACCTTCACGAATGAATCTAGATTCACAGTAAGAATATGGGCACTAGAAAATTCGATTGGTATCAGAGAACGGTTCATAATCATTATAAGATTTTCTCTTACTTTTTTATCTGCTGTTATCCAATTCATTCCGAAAATTTCATTGGAAAATTGAATGCTCTATAATAGAAGTTCAGATAAATATAATTACATATGTAATATTTCTTATTGCGACTATAAGCGATATTTAATGTATTATATATCAATATAAATGTTAAATTTAAATTAAAAATTATCAATATAATAATATATTATAGGACCGTATATGTGATAACACAAACAATATAAATCAAAGTCTTAAATGGTCTAGCTGGATCTTAAATGCTTGTACGATTCTGTGTGAATTTATATACGAGTACTACGTATGTAGTCTTTTGAAACGCGCGCCGAAATGATTTTTCAGTCTTGAAACGCTAACTCTACTAAACTACCGCAGTAATATCACGAGTTAAATTGACTAGCAATTTAACAATTTGATGCTTTTTCGCAACGATCTTAATAATGTTGAATAACATATTAAAATCTGTAAATAATTAATTCTTATTGCGAAAAATATTACCTCGGCCGAAAGTCGAACCCGGATCTCTTGCTTTCCGGGTGAGCATCCTAAGCCTTTAGATCACCGAGGTCTTAGTAATATTTTTCGCAATAATTGACATATGAAGGAACAACGTCTCTTTAGGTGACGTAAATAAACAATATATATTATAGGACCGTATATGTGATAACACAAATTATATAAATCAAAGCCTTAAAAAATTATGTTCCTTATTCTATTATTAATATGATACTGGGATTTTGTTATCAATATTTTTTATAGATACGTTGATCAAACGGTATATGTACACAAAATAGTACCTTTAATTTCACTTCGTTTCCGTACCAACAATAGATAAAAATTTGCGAACACATACAGACTGTGTATAACATTAATGGAATATATTTTGGGCTCAATGTGGTTTTCGCCAATCGATAAAGATTGGAACATACCACTAGCATACTTGCGATGAATTGAACGGCGATTATAATTCTGAACTTTTCATTCATCATATATGCAAATCTAGAAAAAAGAACAATATTATTACCCTTAAAATGATTATTATTGCTCATGACTAATTAAATATATTATGATATTCTGGACTAAATTAAACAATTCCTATCTAATTAATAAACAAAATTTAACATTCAAACGCACATGATTGCAAGTAAAATATGAAAAAATATATTAAAATAATTAAAGTTAAGACTGTATGTCGCGTGTGCGCGCGCGCTACGTTGTATGCTTTGTACCTTAAGATTAATTAAGAGAAACATTTAAGTACATAAAATTCTATACAAAAACTAACTTGTAGATACGATCGTGCTGACGTACACAATCACCCAAGTCGCCTCGATTGCGCAAGGATTTTCTCACACGGCACTCTAAGATCTCGATTTGACAGTAAATATGTAGCAGCAATCCACAAATTATTATATCGCAAGCAACGTTCACGATCGATGCAGCCGTTAAGCCCATTAATTGACGAAAGTACGTGAGATAATACAGTGTATCGGACCACTCGAAGGGTATCCATTCTCTATACGCTAAATTTCCTTGCCGGAAATCCGTAAGCAAAGATGTTAAATTCATGCATCCGCAAGTTATCTCAACAAAAATCGTGTAGATTATAGAATTGGTCCTGCAAAATGACTATGGAGGCTGGACTAATTCACGATGACTTTGTTTTGTATTTTTCTCCTTTAATTAAAAAGAAAGGAAAAATATATTTCCTACTTCTTTCTTAAAATAACAAAAAGATTTTGTTTATTTATTGTTTATTTTATTAATAAATATAGTATCTTGTATTTGCCATTTTTGTCAATTAAATTTAAAAATGCAAAATAATTATATATAAACATATAACGTTAAGATATTATATATTAGAACTAATATAAAGGGAATCATGAAACAATAAAATTAAAACATGCAGATCTTTTATTCCTTAAATGGAAGCAACTCCTTACTGTATTAGGTTATTATATTTTTGTCGAATCTCAATTTCATCTGGTTCCAAAGGTCTAAATGGTTTCTCAACCAATGTGTCAGTTAATATCTCGATATTCTTGCGATTTAGCAATAGACTGAGCATCTTGCAGCAAGCGATGACCATGGCCAACATTATATAAAAAGTATCCGTAAAATCGTCCGCATTATTAACATTCAGGATAATATCCATGAGTTGTGGTAACAAGAAAGTGAGCAGTAGTAAACACACGAAAATTGTATATACATTGTACACTGTCCGTTTCCATAATGAAGACCAGAAGACTGGTGGCCGGCATCCTGCTACCGTGAGCATTTTCATTGGAAATTGCATAACTTGCATTTCTCGAAACATCTTTTATTCGCTCTCTATAGTTTAAAATAAAACACTTGTTATATATATACTATATATATGTACTATTGCATATGTCTTCTATAAGAGACATAGTTATGTGATGTAATTATTAAAGATACAGAAAATATTATATGCTTAAGCTAAAATTTTTTAGATAAATAAACTTACAATTAAATACTTTCATTTCAAAGAACAATTTAAAATATTTATATGAAAATTACAATAACATTTTGTAATTTAAATTTCATTTTTATATTTTAATCTTATATAATATATATATATATATGTATATATTTTTATTTTTAATAAACATAAAATATATTTTATTGTTGTGTAGAAGACAAAATAATCCACATATATTTAACACTGTTTATTGTGGATGGTTTATACACTTATATCTAGGCAAGGTCTCGACCTTACCTTTGTGTGAACACTAGGACACTGGTGAACAGTTAAAAGGATGCCGCATTATATAACGATTTTCGTAATTAGTCGCGACCAATTGTTGTCATAGTTACCGAACTAGACTTATCGATTAATCATATTGTTTTTTACGTGAAGTAAGGGATACCAAACGCGATTACCCGTTTCTACAATCTTATGTTTATTTCAATGAAGTACAGTGTGTATGACATGTATGTGTGTGTGTGTGTGTAGTGTATAGTATAATATAATGTAATGGGTCCACTTTTACAATAATTTGTGACACGCAACATTTTATACTGTATGTAAATATAAGATTAGTAATTGAATAAATTTCAATCACTTGTATAATTAGTTAATTTATTCAATCAATATTAAATAAGCAAAATAAATATTACGCAGAATTGCATTTTATTCGTTAACTTTAGAAAATAATATTCATAATATAAATGACTTACACAAATAAAAAATATCAAGCAGTTTGATGTAAATTTTGTACATTGATTTTACAACAATTTTGCGGAACTTCGACAAATTTTACAATGTCTATAGACGCAACGTTACTTTCTGCATTCATTGTTCGCCTCTTTGTAGCCCATGGCGGAGAGCTACACATGTCATCATGATAATTATATGTATACGTAACTTGTAATATATTCCGACTGGTAATAATACTTTTATAAAATAATATGTATAGCTGTGTGTCTTTTTTGCGACTTTATGTAAACCATTAGGTAATAAAAAATAGACATTAAAATGGTCTAAAGAAAAAAAACTTGTCGACAACGAAATCCGTAGACCATAAATTAAGGTGTGTCACCATGAAATTTTAATGTAAGTAATCTATACTTACATATAAAAATATGGAATTTTTATTGTCGTCAGTTCCGCCTCACAGCTGGCTGTCATCGTTAATTCTGTTGCTTATATTGATCGATAATTCTGGCAAGATACAAACGATTCAAAGAGCTTATTAAATATACATATATAGGTAAAGCGAATATACACGCTGTAATATCTTCAGTTGATTCTGAGCTAGTAAAATATCATATTGCGCAGAATTGTATTGTATCTATTTACTTCGGAAAATAATAACCAAGTATTATGTATATAAAGTGAGGAAAAAATGTCGAAAAATTCTTACATTAAAATTTTTCATATTGAAGATTAAATAAAGAGAAAATGTTTAAATAAATAAATAACAGCAGTAAAAATAAAACATTTTAAACTATAGAAGATTGTAAATAAAAATCTAATAAAAAATAAACATATAATAATCAATAATTGTTATTTAATTATTTACTAACATCATATAATAGATAACAGGAAACTTAAATGATTAACATTAATAATACATAATAATTTAATTAGAAAATATGGCTCCCTAGCTTGTATACTATCTTCCATTTAAATTATGTTGTTTGCATTTGTTGTAGTATGCTATAAGCCGAATATGACGTTTTAAGTAACTGTAATGAAAAGATAAATCTTTTTTCAAATTTATATTGTAGTTGCTAATTTTGTAAAATATTAAATTATATTGCCAAATAATAAAATATATGTAATGCATAAGTACTATAATTTCCAAAAAGCTTTATGGGGAAGTTAGCTTTTATGTAAAAAGAATAATGCATAATTTTTGGAATAGCATAATATGATTAAAAAGATATATTAAATTTTGATATGTATGTCATAAATTTTTTAGTGTACAAATTATAAAAATTGATATCTACTATATTTCTAATAAAATATATATTATTATTAATTGATTACTAATTGTTTAGTGTGATAATGGACTTGCTATACTTACGCTCACAAAAGAATTAAGGTTCATCGTAAGAATGTATGCGCTAGAAAATTCAATAGGTATTAATGAGCGATTCATAATTATTAATAAACTCTGTTTTCTGTTTTGCTTCATTGTTAACCAACCCATTCCAAAGATACTAACGGTGAGTTGAACACTCTGTATTAAAAAATATGTATATAAATTGAAAAACGTTATATAAGATTCTTAAAAAGAAATTGTGTAACTAATGTTTTCTTATATCAGTTAGAGTTTTTTTGTTGTTACAGTGATTTTTCATAAGCTGAGAATTTTATTCCTAAAATCGATGGATGGAGTATTTATAATAAGACCAACAATTTTATAGCTATAGGAAGTTTTTAATATCGCGTAAGTATTGAATAAATTATACAATACTTAACGTTCAAGCTTTCCGAAATATGCACCTTTATCTTTACTTCGTTTCCATACCAGCAATAAATAAGAATTTGTGTGAGCATGGAGCATGTGTATAATATCAATGGAAAGCATCGCGCAGTCAATGTCATCTTTGCTAATTGATACAAATTGGAACATACCACCAGCGTGCTTACAATAAATTGAATAGCGATAATTATCTTGAATTTTTCATTCACCATTAATGCAAATCTGCAAAATACAAACGTTAAAAAATATATATTTATTTAAAATACAAATTTATTTGAATATAAATTTTTACATTCAGAATATTTTTAAAAGATATTTATACAGAGTAAAAATTTTAAATATAATGACCCGAATACTATAAAAAATACGAAAAATATGAAAAAACATTTTAGACAACAGTTGTTGATTTGAAAGGGTGCAAATAATGATAAAATTAATTTTTGAAAAAAAAATAAATTTTTCGTAGTCATAGACTATCTCTATCTTTTTAAATGGAATTATATGATTCGTTTATACATATGTACAATATGATTCCTCTAATTATTCTACATATAAAAACATCAACACTATGTAGGCCGGGTAGTGCTCGATAGGAACTAAAATTACGCCAATGTGGCGTCATCAGCCATTTGATTTTCAATTTTCCAAATATTTTTTTCACCATTTTACAATCTGCAAGATTGTCAAAGAGACTAACTTAAATATACAGTCGTGCTGATGTACACATTCGCGCAAATTGTTTTGGCCGAGGAAGATCTTTTTCAGCCGGCACTCCAGTATTTCAAGCTGACAGCATACGTGTAATAATAAACCACAAATCAGACTGTCGCACGCAACGTTCACCATAGAGCCAATAGTCGAGCTTATTAATTGACGAGCATATATGATACAGAATATCACCTCGGATGTGTAGTTATACGGTATCCACTCTCTGTACGTTAAATTACCTTTCTGAAAATCGGTAAATAATGATGTCAACACGACGCATGCACATGTCGTCTCGACCAAAATTGTATACCATAATGTATTCGTCCTACAAAATAGATAAGCAGTTTGTTTTTTTATATTTTTCATTGCACATTAAACATTTTTCTTTGTACTATTATTCTGTATAAATTAATTACTTTTACCAAATTTTTGAAATATTTTTATACATTGTTAAAGAGAAAGAAAATAGAGAGAGAACTTTTAACTTACTGTATTATTTTGTCGAATTTATGGCGGATTTCTATTTCGTCAACCCCTAATGGGATAAATGGTTTCTGAGTAAGAATATTGGTTAATATTCCTATATTCTTGCGATTTATCAAAAGACCGATCATTTTACAACAAGAAATAATTATAGCAAGCATTATATAGAAAGTATCCGTAAAATCGTCGGTATTGTCGACGTTCAAAACGACATCCATAAGTTGTGGCAGCATGAAGGTGAAAAGCAACAATATTACAAAAGTGGTATATGCGTTATACATAGTACGTTTACACAATGAAGTCCATGAATTTGGTGGCCAACATCCCACAACCGTAAGAATTTTTAATGTAAATTTAAGAACCTGCATTTTCCGTGTTCTTAATGTCACTCTCAATATTAATAACGTTATATTAAATTGTTCTTGTTGTTGTAATTTATGTAAATCGTATGATTAAATATATTAATATAATATCAATAACGTTTTCTTCTCTTAATTAATAATGCTAATAAACTGTTCTCACAAAATATTAAATGTTAACTGATTATATTATATACGGCACGCTCTTTTGACATAGATATTTGTTTAATATATAAGTAACATAATACAATAATATAGGTAAGATTCACGTGTCATATGTGAATGTACTTAATTTTGTAGAATATGAAGAATTAAAGGTATAAATCAATAATAAAAGTATTGTACAAAAAAGTTTCTTTACATATGTAAAACAAAAATCTCTTTTTTTCAATAGCACCGTGAACTAGCTTTGCGAAATTCTATGCGACAAACCTCAGAATGTCTATAGCCGCATGATATGACTTTCTGACAATACTGCTCTTCCCCTCCCCGCTTGGCAGCTATATAATTATCGTAATACTAAACTCGCAATATTATTCCCTACTTTCCTGCTACGGTTTGCATGCACGTACATTTTCATCAAATGC